CTAAACTACTCCTTTTCCGACAATTTGCACCTTTAACACATTCTCATCTAAGTTTTCAAGAACCTGCAATGATCATGCCGACCTGCTATTCTCAATCGACCGATGGCGAACAACCACCACCACTAATTTCATCTGCTGTTCTGCTGTTATGTAATACTGTACTCACAACATAATAAAAAGCTATGCTCTCTGGACGATTACCGTATCTTTTCCGCCGCAGCACCATTCGTAATTTGTGGTTTCCTGATGTCCTTATTTAATCGTTTTTCATTCAAAATGTGCCTCTTGGATTTAAAAAGTTCTCATAAGAACCCCTCGATTTTCATCTATTTCCATAAGTGCCCCCTCAATTTTCAATCTGTTTTTATAAGCTCCCCGTTCGAATAAGCGCCCCGTTTGAATAAGCGCCCCTCAAAAAGTGCAAAAATATTTTAAGCGCCCGGGCGCTAGATCAACCACTGGTTTTTCCGTTTTTCCTGTGCCGACATTGGCCATTCGCTCAATTGTAACCGGGGGTAGGCCTCCTCCCCCCCCCTTCCTCAACCAACCCTTTGACTAACATCGCTCCCGCATCACTTTAAAACCATGCTCTGCTGTATATAATTTTATCATCCTCATCATCTCATTACAGTACGGTACATCATAATCATCGTCAATTAACACGTTATACAGGCCCCGTGTACATGGTGCACCCTCCCTTCTCCCTCGATCGAAAATAAATAAAAAATATAAATTTAGTGAACAGATTGCAAAAAAGATGTGGTAGAATCGTAACAAAAAAATTTGATTATATAAAATATAGAGGTGAGCAAATTATTGAAGAACTGAAGTGGCACAAAATAGAAAAAATGCATGATTACTATTTAAATTGTCTAATATACAACTAATATACAATTGTATACATGGTACGGTACAGCTCCTGATCGTCTTTCGAATGATGTTGAATTTGTTAAGTATACGCGCGGGGCGAACTCTCTTAATATAGTACAAATAATTTAAGATCTCTGAGCGCGATGTTGGAATAAGTTACCCCAAATTTTGCAAGGGGCTAAAACAATAGATATTTAAAAAAAAAAACCTATTAAAACAATATTGTTAAAGGTTTCATTCAAGACTTACTGGTACTACGGCGTGGATAAGTGATCGAATTCTTAACTTGTTTTTATATTTCTATCGATTTTTAATACATTTTAAAATTTTAATCAAATTTCAAAACACACTGTTAGACATTTTTTAAATGAATTACTTTTTGGTATTTTAGTGTAATATTAAATATTGTCTTCATTATTTTGTTTTAATAATTTTTAATATCTGTTTGGTGTTTTAATCGGGACCATATGGTAGATCAATTTTAGTATGCTCTGTCAATTTTACTATTGTACATTTACTTTCATTGAATAGGCCTATGTATCCTGAATAAATATGTTGAATAATAAAAAAAAAAAAAAAGTCTACATTTCAACAGCCGAAAATCTCTGATAAAAATTTGATAAGAGCAATAATAAAGCTTAAATTAAAAGGGAATAATCTTAAATGTTTACATTTCAAACAGTAATCCAGAACCACTATGGTACATAAAATACCATATGCTGCGATCAAACTGGCTCTTTTCCCTTCTTGAGCTCGCCAGGGGCCCTCGCCAGGATTTGCCCGACGGGGAGTCCGAGGTCCCCGATGGGTGTGGTCGAACGTCGTTTAAAATGTTATTGGTCCAGGGGGCGAAACCCCCGAGTTTTACAACTTAGGGCTTCCAAAGGCTTATTTAGGCCTAATCGATTTTAGAGTCTATGTAGAAAATATGTATATATTTTTTTTCCTCACCGACGAATTGTGGTTTTTTTTCCCCGACGGAGGGGGGGGGGGACTCTCCCCGACTAGAACCCCAAAATCCCATGTTTTGATCATGATTCGCGTCCGAATGGAGAGCGGATGACGACCCAATCCTCGCTGGTGCCGTAGTGAATTCAGCCCTGGGGCCCATGAATTTGATCATTTCAAGGCCTATTATTTTAAAGTTACTGTACACCTATGTAGGCCTGGGCTTCATCACTAATAATTAATAGGCCTAAATGGTGCCTTTAATTAAGGATTTCTTGGTCACTACTCAGTATCTGCAGGTCTCTACAGTTATTAAGTGAAAACTCAGATGTTTGTTTGAAGCCTTATTGTGGCAGTTGGGGAAACAGGAGGGGGGTGGGGTCAAAGGTATAATATTCCCGATTAGTAGTTTATGACCAGGTGTGATACCCTCCCCATCCCACACACCCCCAATATAGAAAGCAATACGACTTATCTTAACGGAACGGAATATAATTAGGCCTAAACGCGTGTTTGAAACTAAAATATAGGCCTATAAGCATTTTCATTATGATGGTTTTATTTATTACAACCATATTCTTTTACCATCAATACACATGCAAAGAATTATTACTGTAGTTTTTTGGTTTTTTTTTTTTTTTGGTTTTTTTTTTTTTGGGGGGGGGGGTTTTTTTCCAGAATTTAGAATGAACCAATGAGGCCCTTTTTATGGTAAAACGATCTATCTTAAATTTTCTTTCTCTGTGAGTTGGGACTATTATGTGTTTAATTAACTCAGAACCAGTGTGTAACCAGCGGGAACAGGAGGAACAATCCCCCTGTGGAAAATATTTTCCCTCTACCCCTGGGAAAATTGAGAAAGGGGAAAGGGAAAGAAGATGCCCTTTTAACCCCTGAAAGTGCCTATGTCCAACATCAGACATGTATCACTCACAACTATTTCGCTCTAAAACGCTGTGGACATTTTTTGAAGTGGAGAAGAAGGTGCAGAGTGTTGTGCTACCTGATCAATGATATTTTCCTTTTTATTCTTGTCTTTTTTTCTCTTCTATTTTTCTTTTTCCTTTTCTTTTCTTTCCCCTTCTTTCTCTTTTCCTCCTTCTCAATCTCTCTTTCTTCCTTTCCGTCTACAGCCCGGTAAAAGCCATCATATGGGCTGCGCCTGCCCCCCCCCCTCCCCGGCCACCTGTTACGCGTGACTGGTATACTTTTACATACTATGATGGAGGTTATTGACTATAATCAAATATAGGCCAATTGTGTAAGTAATAGGCCTATAATGGATATTACTGTAACATTAATGTGCTCAATAGGGCCTATTTAATTTGAAGCTGTTTTAAAAACTAAAAAAAAAAAAAAGAGGAAAAAATTGCTTAAAATGTCCTATATTGGGCTCATGTTTGCTTATGTGCTACCGTGATTTGTCACACTTAGGCCTATGGTAAATAAAAGTTTCCAATTTTCAAAATTATTATAATTAATCTTAGACGTTAGAATTTTAGTGATTTCAAATTTAATTACTAGCCATGGAATGATTGTTTCAATTTCTGTTTTCACTGTCTTCCGACTAATGTGCGTGAGAATCTTAGTTTAAATGTTAAATATTTTTATAAAGATTTGAAAGTTTATTTTAAGGGCTGATTTTGATATACAGTATATACATATATTTATTGTGTTTATTGTCTCCGTCTTTTCTTCGGTATGCACTTGATACGGTTGATTTACTTCTCTTTTTTGATTCCCTGTCTCTCCGTCATTTTTTGTGAATCGTTATGTGAATCGTATTCGAGACGAATAAATGAAATGAAAAAGAGTCCACACCACCTCAGCCCCACCATAGTTGGGGGACTGGGTTGAAATCTTAGGCCTAGTTCAATACTATGGATGGATTATGTGGCCAGATTTAGTTTCATTTATTTTCATATCAACAATACAATATTTGTATAAATACCATTTGTGGGGGGGGGGGAAGTGCCGGATTAACCATTAGGCAAATAAGGCACAAGCCTTGTGGGCCAGGCGAAAATGATGGGCCATCAAAAGTTGGACTGCAATATTATTTACACTCTATTTTCCGGTTAGGCCAGAAAACTCGGAAACTGGGGTTTTTACATTTCGTAATTATTACCATGGGGTCCATTCAATTAACATGTTTGGGCCCGGTTCCAAAATGTGCCTTGAGGCCAGACGATGCTTAATCCGGCACTGGGGGGTGGGGGATGCGATCGAACCGTCTGCACCCGCCCCAGCGAACATTATAGGTTTCTCTCTCCTTTGTAGGTTCCGATAAACAAGAGCAGACTGTGACCTGACCATTATTATGTGTCACAAGAAAACAAACAAAACAAAAAAAAACAGAGGTTGCAGCTGCTCGCGGGAAGGAGGAGCACGTACTTGAGTTCTTTTCCGTCGTACACTTTTTTAGGCCTATAAGCGTTGTAACATTTTAAACATCGAGAAATATGAAACATACTGGTCTTTTTAAATGTCACGAAGATATTCATTTGACAGACATACATTAGTAGCCATGGTACGCTGTTAATTATGTGTAAGCTAGGCCAGGCCTGTGTAAGTATGCTTGCAGTTTTTTTTTTTGAGTGAAGTAACTGATGCCCCTTTGTTCGCGGGGTGTGTTGAACAGAACATCGTTCGTTTCTTTCTCTAGTAGGGCCTAGGATGCGCGGCCTAGGAAACAGGGAAATTTTAATGTTTCTTTCTTTATTACCGTATGCGTTATTGTAATTCATTAGTTTTTCTCCAATATGTGTTATTATTGAACAGCAAAAGTTTGTGTTTTTAGGACGATGTGATGGTAAACCTGAATAAATGTAAATATAATACTTGAATCTGAGTGAGACTAGCTAGGAGGACTAGGCCTAGGCCTCCTACCTAGAGAGCCTAATAAGAGGAATAAAAGATAGCCACTCACTTATTTACTCACAGACGTCCTAGACTTGGTTACCTGCTGTCAGCACAGTTATAGCATAATACATATAGGGCCTAAATAAATAATACTGTGTAATTTATATACATGATTGTCAGTATTATTTTATTGTGGTAATTTCAAGGTAACATTGTTCACTTCTTTCTACTGATTACTCTATCTGTCACTGGAGTATTGAAGTTGCCAAATTTTTACATAGTGAAAGAAATAGTAAATAATTACATAAATGATCAACATTATTGTGTTAAAATATATTTTTCCTTTTTGATAAAAGTATGCTTTTTATGCCAAAATTTTTACATTTTTTGAAAATATTTAAATCACTTTTCATGTATAATATTACCTTAATTTTTTTTATTAGGGCCCAACAATAATTATAATGACCTATTTATTAAATTTACATCTTTGCATTTTGTAGAGAATGCGATAAAGTTGCACCATCATGGCCACAACATCTAAGAATACCTACACAGCCAGTTTATCTGTTGATTTTCTGGCGATGCCTCTTCACCATGAAACCGTCGCCACGTCAACCCCACCTAAAGTGATCAACCTTAATGAAGATAATATTAGAATTGACTTTTCCGATGATCCTGATGGTAATGATAATTTACTAAACATTGGTACAGGCGATCAGAATATGGACCGAGCAATCGCTGCGGATACCATGATAGAGGGCACTGTTGATGAGTCTCAGATTGTAGAAGATTCGCAAATGAATGAAGCGCAAACTGATATGGCAAACACGGCATCTCAGCCTAGCTATCTGCTCTTCAGCATCCCAAACCCATCGCAAACACCTCTGCTTGACATGCCTGTGTATGTTCTAAGCAATCACTTAGCAAAGGACAACATAGATGCAAATGTTGTGCTGGAGCAACAGAAGAAGAGTGTTGATCACATGGTCCACCTACAGGAACTGGCTCATGCCAACCTCATCTCGGCTACACAGGAGAGTATAGCCAGAACTTTTGGAATGGAAGTGCCTGATGATAAAAAAGGTTTGTCAAGTAACAGACTTACAGTTACTTTTATTTATTTCTTGTATTGTGCTTTTTCTTGCAGTAACAAAGTGTTAACCATGAACATAACAGGATAATATATTATTTTATATAGGAAATTTACAAGAGTAAAGCCATGTATAATAGACATACATACATTTTGCAGTTTAATTTCAAAATGCTCAATAATAGTAAAATACTGTAAGCATCACTCTTTTGACAAGAAATTAAAAATCTATCTAATAAAGGCCATATTTAGCCAGGGTGGTCTGTCCAGAAAACAATTATTCTGACTAATTGATGTACAATAAATTTTCACAGGGTTTTCCAGATTAATGATAATCATAATTTATTAATTTATATTGCACAAATTTCATTAAGATATGTTGAAATGCGCATTACAATACAATAGACAAGGATACAATGCTAAAATTAAGGGGAGCTAAAATTATATTATATAATTATTAATTATAATGAATATATATGTTTTGTGTTGAGATAAAATGAAACATCATTGAGATATACACTTTATATTTCAATAAAATTTAGAAAGGGTCAAACTTTCCTTTTCATACACTGCTACATTAGCTGGTAATAAATTTAAGGATTTTTGTACTGTAGTAATATATCTGTATATAATTATCAGTGAAATTTAAAATACTGTATGTATTTGCAATTCTTATCTCCCTTGAAGTTGATAAATTATTTAGAGAGCAGCTTAGCTCAGTTAGCTTAACTGGTGGTAGCCACTGTGTGTACGCTGAACCGTGGAGATCGCTGCTCTCCTGTTTCTTCAGCTGGATGGCTGAAGTGTAAGTTACGATAGTGCACTGTATGATGAGACAGATGAGATGTTTAAGCCGTTGGTCCTGTGCACATTAAAGAACACTGTACACTCTTTGGAAAAGAGTAGGGGATTGTCTCCCGGTGTACTGCTCAATCACCACCAGAAGGCCCCACTAGAAATAAGTCTTCTTCAGACTTTCATGTGTTATCCTTAGTGTTTACACCGAATAAATCCAATCCAATCCTAGTCTTTCCAAATGAGAAATTTAGTATTTTAATTGAATTTTTGAGATTTATTTCTATTGTAAAACAGACGGTATATGTTTCATTAAGAAATATTTTGTTTTGGAATTAATTAAAAGTGATTTAATGTATCTTTTTTCTTTATTGCAGTGCGGAAGCTCTACATATGTAAGGAGTGTGGTAGGGGTTTCAAATCTTCTACCAACCGCAAATACCATATGGAACTGCATAAGGGGAATAAGGTGTTGAAATGCACATTTCCGGGCTGTGAGCGTAGGTTCTCATGGCCCACGCATCTCCAGTACCATCTAAAAACACATACGTATGTAACTATTGAATATAATTTTAATGAATTAATAAGTTGGAATAAATTTTGTTTATGGCCAAAGAAGTTAGATATAGATAGAAGCAATCAGATTCCAGTTTTCCCAATAAGAAATTCTGATAATTATCCGGTCAGTAACAGTTGGAGGAAATCCACACTCTGTTTTTTGAATAGTGTACAGAGCCATTATGTACACAGAACCATTGCTTGCTTGGCATCCCTTTCGAATGATTGATAGGATGACGTTCAATTAAAGTAAAGCGTTAAAAGTATCTTATTCTAGAACACAAGCTGAGCTTGGCATGTTAGGTTTGAACCTGGAAACTCTTACTGCAAATCTTGATCTTAAAATGTGCTCTCTCTATTTCATAATATTATTAAATACCACAATGCCAATTTATGTTTATATATTTTACCTTCTGCTCTAAATACATTGCAAAAATCATGCATACTTAGGAAAAAATGTTTCATTTCCTGAATTGTTTTTATCTAAATTTTGTGTCAGATCTACTTGCTAATTTAATGTAATTTTAAATTATTTAATATTTGTTTTCTTTCCATTTTTAGTAATAATAGGCAATATGTTTGTGATGTACCAAACTGCGCAAAGGCATTCTTCACAGAGCAACGGCTTGTAGTACATAGACGTACACACACTGGTATACGGCCGTTTTCATGTACTGAGAAGGGATGCAATAAAAGCTTCACTACAGCTGGAAACTTGCGCAACCACATCAGGACACATACAGGTAAGTTTAATTGGTGTCGTTGGTGCGTTTCAGATAATAAAAAGACAAATAGCAGTTTTATCATCATGCTGTAGCCAGTGGCGGACTCAAGATGTTGGTGGGGGGGGGGGGGTTGGTTGCAGCCGGCTCAGAGCCCCTAAGCTTTTCAAAATTATTTTCAAAAATGGAGACAATTACATTCAAAGTTCAGTCTGAGAGGGCCATTTCCAGTCATATAGAGGTACCATAATCATAAATTTTCTTACCTCAGCTCCAGCCATGGTGGTCTAGACTCTTATCTGTGAAATTCCCTCCCTGTTCCCCTCTATTTCAAATTCCTGGATCTGCCACTGGATACCTCTATGTGTTTCACATTATTTCCAGGGTTATTCGATCCAACATGTATGGAACATGTACTCAACTCCCTGGGAAGAATTCTATAATGTTTCAGCAGCTAATAAGGGCATTGGCATTTGAACACCAGATATGCCTTACCCAAAGACACAAGTGAAATGCACAGTGAAGGCTCAAAAACTTGACATCAATGTTTTAAGCGCACTAAATGCAACCGTTAGCCAATCACTCACTAAAGATGAATGCAAGTGTTGTGTTCTCTTAAATGTGTGCTAGCCCCACAGATTCATGTTTTAGTTGCATGCACAGCCAATAAAAGAATCTAGATCTCAGAATGTTTACACTTCATACTGGTTTTGAGGGAAGGCTTACCATAGAACAGATAGTCATCTGTTGATTATTGGTGGCATGAGCATTGTGGTATGGCAGTCTCCATAGGAATTAATTTTTGTTTTTGTTTCTTGTGACTTAAAAGTGCCTTGAGATGGTTTTTTTTCTATATATATGACCATTGTCCATTAAATTGTTGGTGGGCCTCTGGCTTAAAATATTGTGTTTAAAGGTGTTAGGTTATGCTGAGATAACATGTCTTGTTTTTTTAAATGCAAGGTGAGAAGCCATACGTCTGTAATGTCGCTGGATGCTTGGTGCAGTTTACTGAGCGATCAAGTCTCAGGAAACACATGTTAACCCATACTGGCAAGTAGTTTTCTTCACTATTCACTGGAATTCACTATTCCAGTGAATAGTGGACCCTTTGGAAACCATTATACAATATCAAAACCATATTGTTAGCTGGGAAAGCTTAATAAATGCCGACTTGAAATACTTCTGGCTTGTATGATCTCTGATACTCTGGAGAACATTGTAAATATATCGACGAATATCAATTTTTCTTTTTTAAATGCGGACCTTCTCCAGTTTTTTGGTGGTTTGCCATAACCACTTAAACCCCCCCCCCCCACGCCAAGGGCCTGGAGTCTCTTGGAAAACCAGCACAAATCCCATACTACCATGAGTAACAAAAATTTTCCAAAAACTTACTCATCTTTATCTTCACCTTTTCCGATTTTTGTATAAATGAACATTCTAAGATTTTGAGAGCTGGTTGTCAAAAAAAAAAAAAATAGGAAGAGCTGATAAGATAGAAATTTTTAAATAATTAGAATGTTCATTTTTTACAAAATTAAAATGTCTTAAAAATAAAAAAAAATAAAAAAAAATTTGAATACCAAGACGCAATTCAAACTCACGACCTTTGGTTCCTTAAAAAACATCATTAACCGACCGCGCCATCCATACATTGTATCCTGTTTGTGGTAATGGCTGTAATGTACAGTCCTTTGCTGAAACCCCAACTTCCAATCCAACTTAAAAAAGGGCCATTAATGTTTATTGAAATTCACCACAAGAACAACAACAATAAGAAGTGAGATTCAGCTGAGTGTTTCTAGAGCTTCACATCTGAGCTAATTATAATAATAAATATAATTGCCCCTAATGGCTGCCCGAACAAAAAAGATCTATTAAGCAGTCAGCACAAAAAAGATCTATCAATCAGCTGGGTATTCGTAGAGCTCCTCAACCGAGCTAAATTTTTCGGCAAGGGGCTTCCTGACCACTGCTGGGGAGGTGGTCCCTTAATATGTGGTCCTATTTAGAACTTCACTGTAATTCTATTTCTTTTTACATTAATTGTATAATGTGAAGTCTTACGGTCAACTATGCTGCATCCCTATTGTTAATGATTTTTTTTTTTTTTTTTTTTTCAGGGGAAAAACCATACAAGTGTGAGGTTTGTGAGAAAATGTTTACACAAATTGGAAGTAGGAACACTCACATGAAACGCAAGCATGCCAACACAGACATCAACTCACCTTTAAACCTGGTTGACAAGACACTTATCGGTGAAAACCTTGTCCAATTACAGGATCATATTCCATATACAAGTAAATCATATTATTATTCATTTTTTTAATAGAATAAAGATATATTTTATACACGATAGGTGTTAATCAAGATTGATCAAATAGTTAATCACAGCGGCGGCGCTAGGATTTCCCCAACAGCAACGCACCCAACAGGCAGGGCTAGAGTTGTATCAAGCTGGGGGAAGGGTTTGAAGGGGGTATTCCCCTCCCCTCCCCAATGAGAAAAATTTGTTTAAAATAACAAGCTACAGGGCATCTGTATCCCTGATGAATCCCTTCTAACTTCCCTGATTGGGGGGGAGAGGCCAAAGCCTCCCCTCATCTATAAACATTGTCATCATGTGTGGCATTCACAAGTTCATCAGCGGTAGGCCTAGCATTGACTTCATTATTTAACGGAATTCAATGCCGATGAGTATCACCATGTGAAGCAAAATAAAATTACAGTAAGTGTGATATTAAGAAAGCTTGTTTAACCAGATCTCCCAAAGTATCTTCTTCCAACTTGGGACAATATCTGTTTACTGTTCTTTTCATTGCCAACTTGGTTCCCAACAGTGTTTTGTATTTACAAGTTTTCACCACTGTCACATATCACTTGATAAAGCTGTGATTGTGTTTGAAGCCTGTAACATGAAAAACAAGTCTGCCAACAATAAACCCCACACTTTAAATGGTTCAACTGTTTAATGCCCATGGGCTCTTGGATGGTGAAACCCAAGACCCCAACGAAAAGGGGGCCCCAAGTTCTTCTTACTACTGCCCAGCATAGTAAAATTCTGTAGAGCCTTGATTAGTCGTCCATGAAATTAGGTAGAGAGATTACCCACCCCTCGAAGTCTTCGAGGGGTGAGTAAAAATACTTTCTTGACACACAAAGGCCCTCAACATGTTCATGACCCCCGGGCCCCATGAATAGTTGTTACGGCATGACTAATTATTTTTTAACATGCAGGTTTGAGCCATGGAACGGTGTCGGCCTCGAATGCTGCAGTGGTTGTTTTGTCGGAGCCTCACACTAGCGTGACCCTCACTAATACCAGACATCTTCACCATCAGGCAGTCTCTCGAGAAGATATGGTGTATGGGAATGACCTTCTGCAGTCCGAACTGGACCAAAACATTTCGCACAACATTCATGTTAGTGGTGACATGGTTGGAACTCATGAGCTACCGGGTGTACATGGGATGCTGCCCTCGCAAAAGGGCATTGTGGGAGTAGATACGATGATACATGGAAATAGATCGGATGATGGTAGCAACGAAGACAATGAGGAAAGTCTAAGGAATGCGTCACGGGAGATGTACTGCCCGTGATTGGCCTGCTTAAGCGCAGTGAACACTCAAATTTTATGTGACAAATTTGTGTGATGTGCCCATATATGGTATGATGATATCATATTACACCCAAATATGGGCATAAATTGGGGACAGAGCATTTAATGTAAAGCTGTGCATGATTAACTGGTCTCGTGGCAGATCAATAAATAAACTTGCCCTCTTGTGAGTGGTTATGCTGTAGTCATATAGATGGTGGCTCTAAATTAGAGCTACAGTACTTTATGTTAGTGCTTCATTCAGGTGCAATAAGTACAGCTGAACAGAAATTATTATGAATAAATAATATGTGAAGATAAAATGATACTTATATTGTATGTATGAGTTTATGGTTGTTGATGTAATGCATTCATCCATTTAGAGTGATTTACTGTATTTTTTACAGGAAAATTATAATACTGTAAATACTTGTATAGTGCAACAATATGCTGGAAGACAGTATGCACAAACAGGACTACAGTACATTGATTCTAAAATATTCATTGAATTAAAAAAACAAAAAAAGAAAAAGGTTTTACATCCATTGTAAGTGGCTTAATTGAGTATTTTAGGTGCATCACTTTTGAAGTACAATCTGCAACATCACGCCACTCTGAATCTTCGGGAATTTGGGCGGTGTCTCATCATATATGGATCCACAACAACTGGCAACATTCCAGAGAGTATAGTACAGTATTGCTAATGATGCAGCAGTGCATCTGTATACTGTTGTTCACCAAGATGATGATTTCCAGGTTTTTAAACAATAACATTCAATGCCACACCCTACTATACTGTAGGTAGGCAATTTATTCTGGGTGGAGACAAATAAAAACATAAGATTCAAAGTCCCAAGCTCAAGGTTGAGAGCCCAAATTGTGACCCCCGACAGCTCCTACTTGATAGAGAACCCTTGCTATTGGGGAATAGTGGTGGCACCAGGGTGGGGTGAACCTGCCCTTTGGTCCCCCCACCCTCCTTTTGGAAAGCAAAAAAAAAGAGATCGTCCAAAATGCCTCAGGTCATATCCTTAGCGCCTAGAAAACAAAAATTTCCCAGGGGAATGCCTGGACCCCCAGGGTAGTGTTGTCTATTGATCATCACCTTTTCGGATATTTCTGGATCCGCCCCTGGGCTTACGAAAAATGTTCATCCTCTGGTTTCATTAAAATATGTAATGCATGCTTGAAGTGTATTGAAAGACATGGACTGAATTAAGGTATCGAGTATTTTTAATTCCTACAGCATACCCGTTGTTGAGCACAAACAAATCACTTACTGTAGTACATTAATTTAATTTAGCCTTGTTTTCAATAAACTGCTACCGCTTGCAACCTCATCGCAATCACTCCTGAATTCGACAGACCAATCAGTATCACCAAGTCTTGTCCACAGGGGCGGCGCCAAGAATTCCCCGGCGGCGGGTTCAAGCTCCCTGACAAGGGGTCCACACCCTCCCCCATCAGGGAAAAATTAAATTTGTTGGGGGGAATAATACAAATGTGGTAATTATTAACCATGCATGTCCTCCTGTCTGGGGTACTAACCCCCTGTTGGGGTTGGATCGCAATAGTATTCAACATATCGCACATACGGCAGCAATGCTTGCACTAAACAATTTTCAATCCCCAAGGCACGAATTGTACATTTGGCACTCAAGATTTAATTTTTCCATGACGGCCTTGCTGGAAGTTCCTAACAGGGGGAACATGCAAGGCCCAAACAGGGGTCCTTACCCCCACCTCTCCTTGTCTATCTTCAGACCATTCCTTTTTCTCTGGTAGAAAATGGTAAATGTATATTAATGTGTACAGTACAGTATATGCGGCATACTGGTTTGCATGGAAATTTCCCAATACTGTATTATAATTATGTACAGTACTGTATTTGTGAACATTTTATACTGTATTAAGGGATTGTCACAATTAACATTTTCACAAGTGCACATAATGTAATGATTTTGCAAAACCAATCTGTGTTTTGTAATGTACTACAGCATACAGTACAGTACTTGGTTACTTAAAAATGCATAATGTTAATGGTTGCATTATAATTGGGCCATAAAAATCTGTTACCTGTACTGTATTTGAAATATTGCATGTTATTTTTAATCAACATTTTCATGCACATGTTAAGTGTACAAATTCGTCTACCCCACCCTTAGTATATGGTTTGTACACTAGTGAAAATGATTAACTGTGAATGACCCCTTAAGGAAAGGAATGCATTGCAACTTGTGTGCAGGTACGTCTGATCAACAAATGTCTTCCAAGTAGTAGCATCTCCAATCATAGCGGTATTCCAATGCATAATAATTGATAGCTTGTTCGAAAATATTTTATTTTATTTGTTTTGTTAATGGTTCAGCAGTTAATCCATAGATCATATCTCTCATTCATTTCTGAACATTCTCAACTTGCTCACTGCAACTGAAACAGACATCTTAATAAAACGCAGACAACAAAGTACTTTTTTGCGCCAATTGTTTTTGACATTTATTATTCCAAATCAAAATAGTTTTCAAATACAATACAGAATGTATTTTTTTTTTTTTTGATTTGGATGCTAGGATATGCTGCGAGCCGGACACCCAACCCTAACTCCTTGGCGCCAATAATATTTTATAGGAGGGGGAGGTGCGATTTCCCAATGCTCTGACCAGCCAAGGTGTTGTCTCACCCCCTAGCATCCTTTTTTTATTTTACAGCCTAACAGTAACTAAGACAGGCGCCTATAAGGCCCCACAAAAGTGGGGTCCGCACTTCCTCCCTAAATTACAGAATAATTTTTCTAAATATTATGGTTGCATATTTTCAGTGAAAAAAAAAGCATTTGACTGTATGTACTGTACATGTTTATGAATTACATTTAAGTTTATATTTTAAATATCCGATAAAAAAAAAATTATTAAAAAACACGTCTTTCAAATACAACACAAATTATGAGCATTCTATACACAATAGCACAATATTAATTCACATTTTTATCAACCAGATTTTAAATGTAAAAAAACTTTAATGAAAGCAGTGCATAAATTAACTTTAAATTAAATTTAAAGATGTTAGTACTGTACTGGAATAATGTAATAATTTAATGATATAGGGTTATTTTTAAATCTATGTTCAATTTTAAAGATATATTTTCAACATTTTATATACATTAAATAGCTGCACAATACAAATTTCACAGATTTTTTTGGTACAATGCAAGGCCTTTGACAAAAGTTAAAAATCAGTTTTTTATAAACCATATTTTGCAGTTCAGCATTAATAAAATGCTTTAAACCGATCACTATTACTTCACATTTAAGGCTAAAGACTTTGTATTACAGAACATAGCAATTATTTCTAGCAATTCAAAGCTGGCATTAGTATTTAAAAATTAATTCTGTACAAAACATTTCTTTGATATAAATAAATAATAAATTTATCAGTACTGTAATAAGATTTAAAAATATAGACACTGCAATTACTACAGTATTCCTATTCTTTAAATGTTTTTTGAAGTTTGGTTGTATTCTGTAGCAAGCATGATTAATTTGTATTTAAAAATGACATGAATACGAACAAATAGCAGTACTAAATGCAGTACATATATTTTCTTATTCAATGATTAACTGGATTATATTTAAGTGTAATATTACACCTGTTTTATGCAAGCTAGTTGCTAACATTATCATTAAGTTGCATTACATCTTAATAGTTTATTTTCCAATCACTTTCACTTTCTAAATTTTCTTTAAAATCTAATATTAGTTTATATAAATTCTCTTTTCAATAGCTAGCTTTAAATACTTGAAACTTCTTTAGTTCCTAGTTTAATCCCGTTTATTTACACACATCCTTTACCATAAAATGCTAAAACTTGAAATAAAGTTATTTAATTGAAGCATAACTAAAAAAAGCACAATAGGTTTAATTTAAATTACGTTGTATTAATTTTTTTCAATAGCTAGCTTTCAATACTTAAATTTAATTTTAAACTTTAAATATTGGCGTGCTAAATGGAGCTAAATAGTAGATTATTAATTTTGGGGTTTTGTATCCAAAGAATGTCATAAACAAAAAATGTTACAAGAACTTATTGTTCAAAGATTGCTTTTTGTTTCCCTAAGTACAAGATTTAATTTTTTTGACATTAAAACTATACTTAATTAGGGTACATTCAATATTAACTTTACTATTTTTTTTCATTCTCAATGGACTTTACTATTTTTTTCTCAATTCTCAATGGACAACAGTTTTATGTAGTAAATTTTAAAAAATATATATATACGTCATAATCATTAACGTTTGTTACATTTTTACTTTTTGCATACAAAATATTTTCAAACCCTTTCAATCAAGATATATCTTTTTTTTTTTTAAATTATCGATATATAGCGTATATTACAGTAGGTTAAATCGAAATTTTCTACACAACCTTTTATATTAGGTTACATATAGAACTTATATTTTTCGTTTTTAAAACAAAAATTCCCCATTCTGGATTTTTTTTAAAATTCTGTTTTGATTAGGATTAACATTATTACTGGATTTTTTTAAAAATCTGTTCTGATTAGGATTAACATTATTACTCTATTAATTTGTATTTTTTGAAAATTAATAAATTATTATTGAATTAACTTTCACATAACCACAATTACTAATTATTATTATTTCTAATCTGTAAAGAATAATGTTTATATAATATATTAATATTACAAAATAATATTAAGGTACTGTACGATATTATTTCCCGCATTTAACTTTTTCAAACTTTTAATTAAAAAAGAAAAAAATAAAAATTTTCTACACAGCCTTTTATTTTAGGTTGCATACAGAACTTTTTGTTTTTGAAAAAAAATTCCACATTCTGGATTTCTTTTAAAAAATCAGTTGTGATTGGGATTAGCATTAATACTGTAATTTTAATTACATTAAAATTAATAAATTATTATTGAATTAACTTTTACATACCGCAATTTTTAATTATTAAAATCAATTATTTATTTGAAATCCATAATCTGGAAAGAATAATGTTTATATAATATATTAATATTATAAAATAATATTAAGGTACTGTACGATATTCATTTCTCACATTTAACTTTTTCGAGCTTTAAGTGTTTAATTTTTAAAAAAATCTAAAATATAGCAATTTATGCTTTTAAACCAATTAATTCTTTAGCCATAATGGCATCGAAATCTTGTATTTTTACCAAAATAAATACTATATCAGCAAACACTTACAGAATTATACCTTAAAAAATACAAATATTTACAATTTACTTTGCAATAAAAAAAAGAAAAAACACCACAAAATTAATTATTATACAATGAGTTTTAGTCTACTTGATCTATAAAATATGACTTTAAAAAAAAATCAATATTTACAACAGAAAGAAAACCCTTGTATTCGATCTATACAATGTAAAACTTTTAAAAAATTGTATCAATATTTTCAACAAAAAACCACCTATTTTATTTTGTTTTAACTGATGTACACAAACGTAGCAAATCCAAACGTAGCAAATCCAAAAAAAAAAAAAAAAGCATTTCCACCTAACGTCTAGAACAAATTAATTTCTAGTTTTAAAACAAATATTTCCTAAAATTAGTAACTGTTAAGTGATAAATACACAAAACTTAGGCAGTGGCAATTCAAATTAAGAGTTGGGTACAAATAGGATGGCAACTTCCTCAAGAAATACATTTTCTGCATACAATACGAGATTTTTAAATTTATGAATTTTTTATCAAATTATTATTACATAATTATATTGTTTATAGAATTTTATTTTTATTTTCCAATCGATATATAAACAAAAGATGCCAGATACAAATTGTGGCATTTAAACCAAGAGTTAGTACAAAATGTCTTGCTCAAAAATTACATTTTCTGCATACAATTTTAGGTTTTTACCATTTATAAAATTGAATTTTTTCACTTTCTGAAAGATATAAACAAGATGCCAGAAAAAAAAAACAGTGGCGATTCAAAATCATGTGTAGGGTACGAAGATGATGGCAACTTCTTAAATTACATTTTCTGCATGGGATTTTAAATTTTTAAATTTAATCAATTTTTAATCATATTTTTATTACAATTATATTGTTTAATTCTGATCGATATAAGCAAAAGATGGCAACAACAAAAACAGTGGTGATTCAAAGCAAGAGAATGGTACAAAAAGGATGGTCGCTTTCTCAAGTACTACATTTTCTGAATACGATTTTAGATTTTTTAGTTTAATTTTAAATCATGTAAATTATTATTACATATATTGTTTATAAAATGGAAGTCTTTTACTTTCTAATCGATATAAACCAAAGATGCAAACAATAAATTACTGTCACAGAACTAGCACAAAGCAATTCATGCATTTTTAGTTTTTTTTATACTAATGAATTTTATGTGTGCAATTATTTTTTTAAATTTTGGTTAGTATGTTTTGTTCTTCAATTAAGACAATTAAAAGAAATCATTACCCTTCCTACTTTACAAGGAATTACTGGACAAAATGAATTTTACATCCATTAACAAATTATGAAAACTCATTTACAATATTTTCATTTTTAAAATGTAGTTGCATAATTATATACATGAAATATTTTAACAGTGGTGTGATTCAACCCATGAGTTGGGTATATAATGTGGTTGCTCCTGAAGATGTTGCTCCCTGCTATTGAATGGTGAACTAGTAACAATGGCTCCCTGTAGATGATCGTCCCGCCTTAACTGAATATCAACCGATAACAATGGTGCCGCATAGATGTTGGTCCCGCCTTAATTGTATATCAACCAGAAATGATGGTTCCCTGAAGTTGGTCCTGCCTTAACTATCAATCAGTAATTATAATGCCTGAAGATGGTGGTCCCTCCTTAACCTGCATGATGTACTAGGTCCCTGCTTGGTTTTCCTACAAACGACAAAGCTTGTTCCTTCATAGCCCTTGTGCTCACACCTCCCACTGGAATCCCTGGTCTTTGAATACCTTCCCCACTTAAACACCTATCACATTCTTCCTAGAAGAACACACCTGGAATGTACCCGTTAGAATGCCCCTACAGTGATGTCAAGATTAGTTGTCTTCACGCACTTCCACTAACACCAATCCACCCATATGGCAAATCTGAAACTTAAGCTATGTTACGAGAAAAAAAAAGAAGAGAACACACAGAAACCATTTTGCAAGCCACAAAAACTGATTAAAGTAGAGACAATATTTTTCAAATTTACTATAAATTAAGTCACTCACGGTGCCTAATTACCACAACTGGCTTACAGTTTCTTGAAACCACACCTCTCTAGAAAGCAAAGCTGGCTTGGGGAAATTGCTTGGAAGTTTTCCATTACTCTTGTGGGGATCTCATGCCAAAAGATGGTGGTCCCTCCTTAACCTGCATGATGTACTAGGTCCCTGGCTGGTTTTTCTACACACAAGAAGCTTGTTCCTTCATATCTGATGCTTACACAACCCATTGGTATCCCTGGCCTTAGAATGATATCTTAAAACACATCTTTCCCACTTTAACACCTATCACATTCTTCCTAGTTGGGATGTACTCGTTAGGATGCACCTACAGTGTTGTCAAGATCAGATGTCGTCATGCATCACCATTAACACCAATTCACCCATATCGAAAATCTGAAACTTAAGCTATGTTACGAAAGAAAAAAAAAAAAAAACACCACAGAAAAATACAACTTTCTAAACCACAGCAGATTACTATAGAAAGAATAGAAAAATTAACTATGTTATTTATTTAGTCACTGTGCCTAAGCAATAATTACCACAACTGGCTTACTGTTTCTGGAAGCTGAAACTGTCTCTAGAAAGCACTTAGAAATTTTCAAAACTGGCTTGGTTGGGGAAATTGCTTGCAAGTTTTCCATAACTCTTGGCAGGGATCTCATGCCCCAGATGGTGGTCCCTCCTTAAACTGCATGATGTACTAAGTCCCTGCTTCGTTTTCCTACACACGAGAAGCTTATTTATATTCAAGATCACACCTCCCACTGCTATCACTGGTCTTGGTCGGAATGATATCTTTCCCACATTCTTCCTAGCAGAACACACTTGGGATGTACCTGTTGGGATGCCCCTACAGTGTTGTCAAGATCAGATGTCTTCATGCATCTTAACACCAATCCACCCATATGGCAAATCTGAAACTTAAGCTATGTTACAAGAAAAAACACCATTTTGTAACCATAAAAATAGGTAAATGTTTAAAAGTTTTTTCTTTTTTTAAAATCAATTTTGTAATTTAGTCACTCACTGTGCCTGGATCATTACCAATAACTTGCTTACTTTTACTTTTTCCGGAAGCTACACTCATCTCTGGGAGGCACATGAAATTATTGAAAAGGCAGAATTCCTCACAACTTGCTCAGGGACTTCCTTTACTGTTCTATCAAAACCTATCTTGATCCACACCATTAATCTTCATCCTAGTACTACTGTACTAATGCTTGTTGATCAAATACACCCACCATAACTGACTGGCAAATGGCCTGAAAGAAGTTCTTGGGAGGGGAAAACACAAAAGCAAGGCATGTTGCAAATACCAAGGCATATTTTAAGTTCATACAAAATACTTTATCTTGAATACTATTAACAAGTGCTGCTAAACCATCTTCTGATTTGACTTCTTATAGTGGCCTACATTTAACGTCTGATAGTTGACATTGCTTATTGCTTTACTACAATTATGTTGCAGGTAGAAGTAGACGTATTATTGGTTCACAATTAAGTCCCGATTTCCTATGGTAAAGGCCAACATTCTTCCTACTTGCTACCAATTTCTTGTCAATTTGAGGGATTCCCTTTCAAGATTCCATCCAAACTACATTCAATTCTATTTTCTCAATGCTTCATCCTAAACTTTTGGCTTCTACTTCTTAGTTCTTAGTATGAAAATCAAATTAATACACAGTTCAGATTCCTTCAAAACAACCTTCCATATTCAAGGCACAACACGCGATCACTTCACATGCCTAGCACACATCAATATATGCCCAACAATAAACTCCGAACCATTACCAGTAGTTAAGCTCACCAAGTCCATGAAGGTCACACAGATGACAAATGACTCACAAGAATTGCATTCGTATTAGAAGGTATAGTAAGTTTCTGAAAAGCGAATAGAAATATGATTGCGCCCCAGCCCCCTTGAATTTTCATGCACTTAGGTAATTTTATCTTGCTTTAACGTTGACAAATCAAATGCTTTCAATATTAATCCATGCGAAAAAAAGAATTTGTTTAGCGTTGAATGGTTATTACAAACGATCATACCTGTTAGAAAGCTATGGAGATACCTGTGATAAAGAAACATGGTGGTGCTAACCAAACACTGAATCTACAGCAATGCTGTGACGACGGCACAAAGCAAATTGTATTATAGTGGATTGTCCAACATAGTCAAGTGTTATCTGTAAATACAGAAAGAAAAAAAACCCCTCCCCATACACCTAATGTACATCTAATTCAATCAATATTTAGTACAGTGCGAATGTAGTATTACAGTTTTGTTATCTAAAGCAATAAACCAAGGTTGAGGGTTATATTTATGGAAAGAACACGCAAATGATACATTCTTGCATAACAGAATACTAGTAAAAACTCTAAGCCTTTGCAAAACAGGCCATTGAGAAAGAAATATAGTAATCAGCCAATACAATTGATTTTAATTGAGATTTAACAGCCATACAATAAAACAGTAGACATTTAAACTAAAACAAGTGAGCAACTCACAGTTTATACTTATGTTAGTGTGTGATAGTGATGGAGCATCAAATGCACATGTGCTTGGCTTAGGAGTAAATGCAATGTGGTGATTATATGGCAACAGCAGGTTGGATGACACTTCGCTAGTGCAGGCAACACCAACCTAGAGGTTAAAAAAAAACCAGAAAAATCCATCCCCGTACCCAACCCCCATGCTAGATTTTCAAAATGCATAAATAAAAGCTAATTCAAACACTATTTTACAGTAATATATATTTCATGAAATCCCCAAGAATATATTTCAACAAAATTCTAAATACTTTGTACAGTATAAAAATTAGACTTTAAATTACACAGAATTATGCGCTCATCTGGAAACAATCGGCCTGGTATACTACACAGTACTACTTTTATTTACTTTGGATCTATATCTGAAGATAAACACTAAGAAACACACAAACCGCAAAAGGTTCTTCAAACAAGCAATGTTATGTTTAAAGTACAGGGAACACAAGGGAAAACAATTTTTGATACAGAACAAAGACTGACATGGTTTGATGTAACGTAACTCACAGTTTGAGCTTGTTTTACAATGGATGCAAGATCACCAAGTACTTGATTGCGACCAAGGAGGAGTATACTTAACTTGAAGCAGTAGATCAGATATACTTGTACCTACATAGCAAAATGAAAGGGAAAAACCCAACCCTATCTTTCAACATCCAACCCTTAACAGAAACTGTATAAAAAAAAACCCATTTACAATACAACCTGAAAATTTTATTCAGAAAAATCCTTGAATAATTATAAAGTACAGTAATCATTCATGCAACAGAATATTCTGAAAATACCTGTTTTACATCTTTTACTTTTTAGCATCCACGTTTTTCATGAAGACATTGCTAGCAAAATATGAAACTAATTTGAATAAGAATAAAATATTCTTCTGCCATCCTTCAGAGGTACATTCTCTTCAAGAAATTTACTTTGTTCTGAGGAGAAAATCAGAAAAACAAGCGCAACACCCAAAAAGCATGTATTGATTACAATTTACTACTTCAACCAAGATTTAGTTTTTGAAGTTTTTTTACGATTGTGGACTAAAGTTGTTTATCACTATTTTACACTACTAAATGGATTACACAATAAAATATATTTTCAATGATGGTAGTCTGAACAATTGACTCACAGTTTTGACTAATAAGATTTCCGAGCATCTAACGCACCGCTTTATATAAAATTTAGTTTTCAGATATGTCTTCTGATCTTGTTTCTTTTGCAGATCCAACAGAGTATATGGTAACCTATATGTAAAAGATTTTCAACAGAAAGAATGAGAGTAACCCACCCCACATCAATAAGCCCACAAGATACTTGTAAATCTTCACTTTGTAAAACTGAAATGTCTTGCCATACACAACCTTTATTCAAGGAGGACTTGTCCCACATTTAATGAAATCTTGCACGCAAAGATTGAGACGAGGTTTTCAAAACCTGTACAAAACACGACTTCTAGCTTGCACTTTTATGTACCACCATTCAGAAATAGTAGCCTATGAGTGTTCTTGGGGTCCTAGGAGACCAAAACGGGTTACTGTATTCAATTTTATAGAGGCTTACTTGGAATGCAGATTACTTGTATGCTTGGGAAGTACTTCCATTGTATTAGATAATGTGGCTCTTTGATACTTGCAGCTAATTTGGAAATGCACCTCTTCAACAACCTAAATTGTGGAATCAAAAAATAGAGAACCGACCCTGCTTCCCAGTAACCAACCCTATATTGTAAAAGTATTATATGATGTTTAACCCAATAGTTTAGTTTTTTTTTGGAAAAATGTGTAACCTACTGATTTTGCTATATTTTCGAACCTTCAAAGTAAACCATACAGTATTGCTCTCAGTCTTCAGTACGAACATGATATTGTATTTACAGATCTTCATTTCTCGCGGGAAATTTGGTTAAACAGTAGCCTTGACTTCATTAACCTAAATAGTGAATTGAAAAACAAAGAACCAACCCTGTTTCCCAACAGCCAACCCGATATTGGTTAGTTATCAATGTTCTGCTACCCAAATCCTATATATTCTCTTACTGTAGAAAGAGTAACCTACTTAGCTCGACTCTACCAGGACTTGCGAATCCTTGCAATGGAAACCTTATTCTCAATTCTCGGCAGAAGCACTACGGGATGTATTCACACTGATCTTCAATTCTAGCGGGTAACTTGGTAAAGCAGAGGTCTACTTCAATCAACCTAAATTTTTGGAATTAAAAAAAAGGAAAACAACCCTGCTTCCCAACAGCCAACCCCATATTGGTTAAGATATTTAAGAATCTTGTACCCAAATTATTGATTTTTTGTTGCTCAGTATAAATTTTAACCTACTGATTTCAACCTTCAACCAGGACTTGAGAAGTTGCAAAACTTTTTAACAAATCTTGCCAGGAACACACCATCACATTTACAGATCTTCAAATACTGCGGCTAATTCGGAAATACAGCTACTTAACTTCATCCTAAATTGTGGAATTAAAAAAAATTGAGAACCAACCCCTTCTTCCCAACTGCCAACCCAATATTGGTTAAAAAGTATAAACAATGAAATACCCAAAAATCTAGATTTTTTTCTGTAAAAATGCAATACCGATTTAAACTTTACTAACGTAAACCATACCGTTTTCAAATAGCGGCAGGATCACTATTGTATTCACAGATCTTCAATTCTCGCGATAACTTGCTAAAGCAGTAGACTCGACTTCTAATGCAATTAGTACTGTTCTCCTGAAAGTAATCTCAAGAAAAAAACCTCCCAAAACACAAACTCCCTCTACAATATTACTGTATATACAAGGTCACAATTCATGCAACAATGTTTATATACCTTTGTTATCTTGAAGTCAAGATCCTAGATATGAATCAACTAGTACTGTATTGACTTGCTGAGCAAGTGTACACGTCCGCGATTTTCAAAACCTGTACAAAATGGGGGATATAAAAAAACGAATGTTCCTCTTGCATACTCCATTTCAACACCACCATAACCTGAGAAAAATAAGCTAATACAAAACACATCCGCAAAAGTAAAAGAAACAATAGGACAGAGTGCCTTAATTTTCGTTTTCGTTCAGAACTATTTTAATATTCCTTTATGACATTATTTACGACCACAGCAGTGTATATTAATTTTAATAAATTACTGATTTACGTTGTGGGTTACTATGCCTATGATTAGCCGCGGGAAAACCATTTTAGTTATGCATTATCGTCAGGAAATTTAACCAAAGAGAAAAAAAACCAAATACTCAGATGGAAAAGAATGGCCAGAAGGTTTGAAGCGACAGTCATTACAACCTGCTTAGGATTGGTGAAACTGTTTAGGCTTGCTGAAACTGTTTAAGATTGGTGAACTTGTTTAGGATTGGTAACCAGTTTAAGATTGGTGAACCTGTTTAAGATTGGTAACCAGTTCAATCTCTCCTGACATGACCTGCATGAATCTCACTAAAAAGGCTACTCTTGCAGCTACACTTGGCAATATTCTCCACAGGTAGAACATTCTATATAAAGACAAACAAAATTTTGCCTCCCACCCTCCAAACAAGAAAAACTTGCATTCAATATACAATTATTATATATACTATATACTAGTTTTGTAGGATTTAATTAGATATATTAAACAGAGCATTTTAAAAGTATTAGAATCGCTTACCATTACTACTGTATTTAAAAACTATGATTTATATACTTTCCAATTTAGGGAATATACCAAAATTTCTTCTTGAATTACTAGAATTCAGCGTCACAGGATTCAGTTGGATCTCAATGCGCTTACAAAAACTCAAATCTGCCACAAAATTCTTGTAAGAATATCTACAAGGCAAAACAAAGAAATTATACACCCACCCACCCACCTTATCTTAACTCTATCGATAAAGTATATAGAATAATTATTATCATGTTATTTTAACTTCAGGTTTTTTTAATCACTTAAATTTTTTTTGTTACTAAAATTACAGTTTATTGCTAAATTATATCGGTTTTAGGTTACTTAGCTTCCTTATTACTTTAAGTTTATGAAATCCTCTTTTCTCATCCTCGCCACTGGTATTTGAATTTCCTAGACAAAAAAAGCAAAGATTATCCATAGTAACAGGTTACCGAAAATAGGTATTGCTGTATTTTCATAAATAAAGGGGAAAAACAACCTTCCACAAAAATTACACAAATATTTAGTAACCAATAAAAACATACGTACTGTGGGCCTACATATTTTCTCTTTTTATTATATTTTTGGCGAATTAACTCAACAATTTATGTAACAACCCTATTGTATTTTATGATGGAATTCAATTCATTTTGAAAGCTTTATGTCGTTCACTGTAGTTAACCAAAAAACAACCTTCCACAAAAATTACACAAATATTTAGTAACTAATAAAACATGCGTACTGTGGGCCTACATATTTTCTCTTTACTTTTGGAATCGGTACTATTTTTGGCGAATTAACACAACAATTTATGTAATAACCCTATTGTATTTTATCATGGAATTCAATTCATTTTGAAAGCTTTTTGTCGTACACTGTAGTTAACCAAAAAAAAAAAATCAGAAAAACAGTTTACTAAATTGAAGTTCACTAAAATCACTACTGCTGTATAAACTATTACCCATAGCATTGATTGAACAATCACAAATAAACCAATAAATTAAATTAAATGATTTGCAAAAAATAATTTGGACCAAGTAACAATTACTTATTGATTGAAAGCCAAGTTCAAATATTTCCCCAACATTGGATTTTTTTATTTACTAAAATCAATTCTGGTTAGTTAGAAAGTATGACAATAAGTAAATTAAAATGGAAATATTTGTTTTATTTTAATTAATTTTGTAGTGTACACATTTAGGCTAGTAGTTATTCATAAAATTTTTAAACGGTGATAAAGCAACTAGGGCCTAGGCCTAATGACTGACCAAAAAAGCCAGCAAATATAATAACAGAAAACAATCAAACGACAAATTCATGAAATCACGTGCAATAAATACCTGATATTTTAGTAAACGTTGATTTCTTCTTAGCAACAAAATTCAAGTCCCTTTTACTCTTTACTTTTCTTCAACAAAATAACCAATCGACATTTCTTGACAGTTTCTCACAAAGATTTTCTCTACATAATGCCAATATATTACCGCTCAAACGCACAGTTGTCCTACAGGCTACATTACTATTTCAAGAGCCAATGAAATAAAGCAAAACTGGCCTGCTGTTATTGGCAAAGCCAAGCGACACACAGATTTTGAGAATCTCCATCGAACTAAAAACAGTCAAATTACTGCCCTAACACTAATTATTAACGAACTTCTTGCTTAGTATTGAATATTTAAATAAAAATTATTAGAATTTAATGCAGAATTAAGCCCTAGCAAGTACAAGCTCACAGTTTTAGGTGACACTCCAGAAATAACGAACCAAGAAACACAACCAAAGGAGCACAACAACCAGCAAAAACCTGACAAAGCCGATGACGCACTATCTTTTATACTAGCGTCAGCCCTATTACGACCATATTCATCAGCACCACATAAAATAGTTCACCGCATGTTGACCACACTCAATTAAAATTCGCAAATTCTCAATTCACCTTTACAAACTTGGTCAATTCAACTCAATCAGCTTATAAGGGATTATAAAAATTGCATTAATTGCTGTAATCACAGGCGTAAATTGTACAAATATAATGGCATGGCAACGCCTTGCGAATTAATACGAGATTGTGTGACGTGTGCAAAGAGATCTGATTTTCTAGAACGTGTTGTCTCCGTTTGGTGTGATGTCACAGTTTGTAAACATTGCATTAGGCACGTTACAAAATAGAGGGAAATCTATTACGTCATGATTTCGCAATAGCTTTAATCACTAAAAAAAATTATGACCATGTCCATTATTATTATCAGTATATATATGTTTATTATTAATTAATAAAATTATACTTTATTGATCCTGTCTGTACTGTATTTGTTTACTTTTTATCAATTATTAATCTATTATTACCTGTATTTCTATAAATATTGCTTTTTTTAAATTTATTTTTTGCTGTTGTTTAGCATTTTTTCCATAACTGAATAGAGGTCATCATCATGGCCAACACACAAAAATGTAAAACTTACAACAAAAAGTGAATAATTAAAATGCTGATTTTTATCTTTTATTTTTATATTATACTTACAGTAATATTTGTATTTTGTTTTCAATACTATTATTTAGTGAATTTTTGTATTCTTATATTATTGTATTTTCAAGAGATCCATTTGTTTTACAATAAATATATCTTGCCTTGAAACTTGAATCTTACAAAATAGTACTATTTATTATATCACAGGAGCAAATTCTTAAACTAAAAATTAGGATGTTTGTTATATAGGGACTAGGCTTGACCAGACGGGAAGTAACACGTTCAACTGGTAATTTATTAAATTAATACAGGTACTATGAATTATAGTAATTACTATATGAGTAGGACATACAGGATGTGGGATATTGCATGTGTCTCTAAATAGCATATTATGAAATGGTATTTTGCAATGTTGTGATGTTTATTTTTATTGGAGTTTTTTCCTACCCTACTGATCTAAAGTCAATGACACACAAAATGATGATATTTTCCAATGTTGTGGAGCGTTCTTTCCTACTGGCGATGGTCAAATGTCACAACGACAATTTCAATTTAATTTCAATTTAATCAGTATCTGATTGGCAGCTGTTAGCTAATTTACATCAAATATACAATTTAAAAATTCTTACACTAAAAAAACTAAACAACAAAAAGCAATACAATTAAATACACACTAAATACAATTTTGATTAAAATTATGAGGCACAAAGTTATTAATAATATTGAAATATAATAAAACTAAGTGCGAATGAAGACACAACCAAAAAGAGAAACATTAAAATTGGGGGAAATGAATAAAAATATTTGAGAAGACAAAAATAAAAAATACACAAAAAACACATTAACTTTAAAACAATATTGCACAACAAACCAAGCAAATTGAGAAAATAAGTTATTCTACAAATTGATAATAATAGAAAAATACATACTAGTAATTTTACAAATTGATAATCATATAACATAAACACCATTAACATGTAAAAATATAATTAATTTAGTGTTCAAGGATTAAGAAGTAAGATTAAATTAAAATTAAATTTTAAAAATATAAACATTAAAAAAAAAACGAAGTAAATATTCTCTAATGTTCTATGTTAGATGAATAATCCACCATGTTGAACGATTCATAACTTAAAGGATGGAGTTGTATGCTTACTAAATGATTTGATTATAACCAAACCATCTCACTTCCTGCTCAAGCCTCAAAAACACATCCAAGAATAATTTTAGCTGACATAAACAGGCAGTCAGCAGTGTATGAACGTGCACTACAAGCAGGATTAAATTGAAAAACAGCATTTTTCCCCAAATGTCGAAATGCACGCCATCGTGTCGGGATTCAATATCGGGATTTCGATACTTGGAATATGTATATCTTATCTGAGATTAATCAGTGGACCTTTCGGCATTATTTTCTTTTATATTGATGTTTTTAATGATAGATATTTTTAATGAATGATATATAAATCACATAAAAATATTCCTTTTTTATATTAAATAATTTAGAAAATACAATGTATTTTGGGGATATATTCACTTGCCAAAAATTTTTTTTTTATATAATAATGATCCTAGGTTTTTATTGCTATTATTATAATTGATGTTTAACAGCTAATTTAATATTGTTTCATTTTGTATGTTTTTACTTTTATTATAATTAGAATGTTTAATACAGGCTTACAGTATGAAGTGAAATTGTTGATGGAGGTTATAATACTTTCCAAAAATTTAATATAATGTCGATTTTGCTATTTTCAGTACTTTGTATTTTTAAATTTTTGTAATAATAATCTTATATTTTTTATAGCTATTTATATATTGATGTTTAATGTCTAGCAAGTAGGAGTTGGAGGAATTTTCACTGGAATTTTTCCAGTGATAGAGTAGTTTTTGTACAATTTTTGAACCTCCCCAGCTTGCCTCTTAACTTCATTCTTGTCTTTGTTCTCTTATGTTTTGTACAGTTTGCACTGTACGGTTTTGTTCTTGCACTCTGGTGGATTTTGTGTTTCCTGCACTGTACATGCTCTCAAGTTGTGACCTCCTTATGGGTGCAGCTTACAAGAAGAAAAAGCAGAAGGAATAAAATAAAATAAAACAAAACACATCATGTCAATCAATCAATCAATCTTCCGTATTTTGGAAATTCAAATCAATATTTAACAACAAAATATTTAAATACAAAAAAAAAAACAATTGCAAGTATTAATAATTGAATTACATAATTAACAATATATAATATACATGTTTTTTAAATCAATATAAATAGTAAATGTGCTTCCCTTCATGCTGTTCAAGAGGCGAGCATTTTCCAGTTGCTTGGCAACACTAAACAATAACACAATTGATTATTATTGATCAGTCTATTTAACTTTTGCGCCAACTGAGAAAAAAATCAAATAAAAATCAGGAGAGAATTGATGTAACTTTTATTTTTAAAATAGTGCAGCTATTTTGACTGAAATTCAGAAGATAAATCATAATAATACCGGTAAATTTGTTTTTTGTAGCCACTCAGCTCAGTATATTAATTAGCAAAAACCCATTATGTATGTTCTATTGATTCAATCTTTTTTAATACCATTCAAACCCTTGCCATTGTTACTGCCAAGGTCCGAGTTCCCATTGTGCTGAAACAGAGGAGACTGCCCATGGACAACTGACCAATTGACCATGGCACAGGTGGTATGGAGTGGCAAACATGATTGTCGGTAATATTTTTGTTAAATATCTGTATCTTTTTTAGTTGTTACAGTATGTATTTTGATATAAATTACGCTCCTGTTTTTGTTTTTTTTTCTCTGTTCTTTGAATCTCCTGCATCTTTCTGCTTTTTCTTTACATTCACTTACCTTTTTTTTTTTGGACATGGTGCTTTATTTGTGCCTTATAAATCAACCTATTATTATTCTTATTATTACAAGGTATCATTTACACAATCAACAGTCTTAATTTTGTACCTCCATTGCTTGGTGGGATACCTAGAACCACCTTTTCATTGAATAAAGTATTATAAAAACTTATATTATGAAAATTACCATTGATAATTTTCTTATGTGAAAACAGTGGTTTCACATTCTGGAGATGATGGTGATTCAGTAAATAAGCGAAATTGTTTCTGGTGGCTTGGTGATAGGGGAAGTGTACAACAGCAAAACAATAAGACTAGGGGAAGATTAAGAGGAGTGGGGGCGCTTTTTGGAAAGTTAAAAAAAAGAGAAAAAAGAAATAATTGACCACGCAAAACGCTTCAGAGGTTATTTTCGGGCGTCTAGAAAACAAAGTTAAAACGTTACAATGGGAAAAAGAAACAAGGTCCCTGGCACCAAATTCCACTGACCAAAAATTTAAAAAAAAATACAAATAATAATAATAAATGTAATAATATGATTTTATTATTCGATTTTTTATTATTTTTATTTATTATTAGGCCTCTTTATTCTACCAATTTTAATATTTGTATTCTTTATGTTTCTTGAACAGGTATCTTCGAAAGCTTTGAAATTAAAAAATATAGAGGCTTACAAACATAGTACTGTTTAGTACACATCTGCCTCCAATAAAGACCACTTTAGGGACCAATGTTTTCATGGTCAATAAATAAAAAAATAATCAATATAAAGATAAAGGATTTGTGTTCATCCAGGGCCAGACAAAAGCGGTCTTTAATAAATGAAGGTGGTATTTATACGGAGGTGTCTTTAATTGGAGAAGGAACTGTTTTCATAAATTTGAATAATCATGTCAATACACACAGTACTTTGACTTAATGGTGTGGCTTGGATTAATGGGTGTGTCCTAATTTAGTGCAGCCTATTATTAAAACTTTACTGGGTGGGGCCTAATTATATTTTGTGTCTGCAACTAATTTATATTCATTTGTTACTCAGCTTTTATTTTTAAGTACTGTACTCAACAAACATCAACAGGATTGTATTTACCCAAATTTAACAATTTGTGTTATACTGTTCAAAGCCAGTACAGTACTCCCTAAATATTTTCAAGAAAAATATTTTTAGAAACATTTGTCAATAATTAGGAAGAACATCATTACACATGCAGGCTGTTTGTAATTGTTAAATCCTGGTTTTTTTTTGTTTTTTTTTACAATTACAGTACTGAACATCTACACTGTTGAGTACGCCTTCGTTCCAACATAAAATTAAATTTGTTTTAACATGTCTTGATCATTTCTTGTGAAGTTGGTTTAGATTAATTTAATTAGGTTTTCCATTGGTCACTTTAATTGGAAGCAGAATTTAAAGTTAATGGTGAATGATGTTTGAGAGAACATGTCACATAATATAGGCACTTATGATGCCTTATAAAAGAAAGTTGCTCAATTCAATATTTGATTACACCCAGCCAAATTAATAATAAAGGATGTTTAAACTACTCAGAAAAATCTGTGAATCAAGATAAAAGTACACAAACATAAATGACCATTAACACGTTCGCTGCCAGCGATGAGTATACTCGTGATACATGGTGGGCTGGCGTGCCAGCCACAAGTATACTCATCAAAAACAGCGTAACATTTGAGCATTTATTACATCACTGTTATATACTGTAGACCCAGACTTTATGGTTAATAATTTGGGGAAGATGCACCTAGATAAATATAACGTGCAAATAATGTACCGTATGTATGTTGCGTTATATTGCCTCGGCCAATAAAAAATATTGTCCTATCAATTGCCAGTGACGATATGTTTTCATATGTAAACGTGTTTTGGCATACAGGGCAAACTTGTACAAAATGCACGGCAGCGAATGTGTTAAAGTGATTATTCTAGCCAGTTTCACATCGTCATTATTTGCAGTTTCATGCAGTGGATACAATTGCAGCAAAAGCACTGTAGCGACAGTGTAGCGATTTTATGGAAACCAGGTAATAGGTAGTTTTCGCCGCACGACGTTAACCTTAACGTTAGTACCCAACATACAATGCATTTGCTCCGCCCCTTTTGTAAACAAATCAAAATATGCATGAGCAAACCCGTAACTAACATACATCGGGCACGTAAAATCCTGAAATTATTGTACTCCGCAACACAAGATGAATAAATTATGACGTCATCCGTTAACGTTAAGGTTAACGTCGT